CTCCTTTTTTGGCTCCATACTGGTAGGCGGAGCTGATTTTTCATTTTCAATAGCGCTATCAACTCTGGTAATCCAAATGGCCACCCCATATAAAATCTGTGATAATACTTTGGCCCTAAAAATTTGAATTGCTGCAGGAACAAAGTATCCCCCAGAAGATTGCTGTGTTTCACAATGGAGACTCAATCCTAAACTCCATATTTTGGGGCTGTCCCCTGTCCTTTATTGGCCCTCAGGCCACAAGGCTATCTCTTGATAGAGCACTGAAGGCCTTAGATTGTCAGTCAGCCCCTGCTAGGGCTCGTAGAGTATGCTGTATGTTATTTTTTTGGTGTTGTTCCTTCTACAATCCTTCCATCTTATTTTTATCAATTGACTGTCTCTAAATATTGGAAGGCTTCTCTTTTGGACAGGTTAAATGCTTTCCCCTCCACTGTTCTGTTGGGTAGATTCCAAGGAGTGACATTCAGTCAGGCTGGGTCCTTGTGGATCTGGTGTAATTGAAACATTGGCTCATCTTTTTTTTGACTGCATGCTGGGGGGCCCTTTGAGAGACTTCTGGTTTCAGCCAATGATTGCTTCTGGTGCTTCTTCCACTGACCCAGCTTTTTTACCAGCTAGTATGATTTTGGCATAACGTTGGTTGTGGCAATAATTTTGGCTGCAATGGCTTTAAGACCAGGGTGGAATTAGAGGGTGGTACTAGTGTTTTATGTTGTTTAAGACCGTTGGGTCATTGGATTATTTGAAATAAAGAATTTTTATTTTCCACTTTTATTGTTTTTTAATGTTAACCCACCATAAGGCCATGCACCTCAACAATTCTGATGCCATGAGTGCAAATCCTGCAAATGGTATGAACAATAACTTTGAAAAAGTTCCCCTAAGAACTACTAAAATGCCAGGGAATTGCTGCAGAAGGTGGGTAGGGTATTTTCCTCCCCAATGGAAACCCAAAGCAGCTACTAATGTAGAGAAACAGAACAAAAAAATCAGATAACAGCAACAAACAAGAAACAGAGGAAGCTCTGACTGCTAAGTGGGCCTTCTCTCTCTGCCAGCTGATCTTCTGTCCAGTTTAAGGCTCTTTACTCAGTTTGCAATGTTCTTTGGTTGCATGAATGGTCTTTGCACTTTATGTGACAGAGAAAAGCACTTTCCTTCCAATCTAAATTATCCATTTGCAAAAGAAATACAAAAATAGCCTGCAAAGAAGTGGGAGGAGGAGTTGTGTTGCTCATCCGCAGTGATATCTCAGAGATACTTCACACCTATATCCATTAGATGCATCCCTAAAATGTTAAGTATTGAAGTGACAAACAGATGTTTAAAAGCAATTTCTATCATTCAGGTCAATTAATCAAAGAACTGATATTCTCTTTGGAAGACACAATCAGTGGCAAATCAGGGATTTTATTGGCCCTCAGGCATCCTCGAATTAATGCTAATAATGACACTCATTCTATCACAACCCACACCGTACACAAAATCCCTAAGGTGGCTGAATTAGGACTGAACCAGAGTGACTTAACTCTTCTCCTTTTTCTGTGCATGAGAAATTGCTTCTCTTTTTCAGCTTTTTCAGCAAGTAGCTTTACATAGTTCATATGGTGTTCTCCTCTCTCTCTCTCTCTCCTTCCTAGTCCATCATCTCGGTTGCCCACACTGCTGTTTAGTTCTGTGGGCCTACATTTGCCATGATGACATCATGAATACTTATAAATGAAGCACCACGCTGGGGCGGGGTGCCCCCCAGGGCCCGATCCCCCGGCGTCTGGGAACGGGCCTCTGGGGCAGGGGGATTTCCCCCGGGGGGTCTTGGCAGCCCTATTTTTCAGCAAGAAGCTTTACATATGGTGTTCTTCTCTCTCTCTCCTTCCTAGTCCATAATCTCGGTTGCCCACACTGCTGTTTAGTTCTGTGGGCCTACATTTGACATGATGACATCATGAATACTTATAAATGAAGCACTGGAGGGTCATCACATGGCTGCAAGGGCAAATGAAGACAAGGGCGGAGAAGAAAAGGGCTTCAAAAACAGGTGGTGAGGGCTTCCCAGAGCAATGAAACAATACAAATGTCCACTCTGCTGCATTTCATACAGCAGAAAGAAAAAACATTGAAAATTGCACTTACCTTGTATGAAAGATAGTGTTGCGTTAAATATTTACACCAGGGGTGTCAAACTTAAGGTTCATGGGCTGGAAGTGGCCCAGCCATAGCTTTAGTAAGGCTAGCAGAATAAAAATGATTAGAGGGATAAATTTTGTGTTTATTTAGTTGGCATCATTTATCAGCTGATGCGATTTCTGAGTTGGCATAGCCTCAGAACTTGCAGGATACAACAGTAGTTTCCCAGGGCACAGCATGAGAACACATCACTATTTTGTGATCCACACTATCTCAAGCACACTCAACTGGGCTGCCAAAACAAGCAAGGAATATTAGACAAACAAGTCATACAGATGATTCCCTTCCCCTTTTGCAGAATCAAAACAGAAAATGGAAGCACTTTTTTGTTTCATGCATGAGCTATGGGCAGTCAGGGGGCAGGGGGCAGCATTGGAAGAACATGCTCATGTGGATGTATTTGATCATATTATCAACACATTCAAATGTCGGGAGGGGGGGACCTGATTTTTTTTTAACTTTTGGCTATTCCAAGCAGAGAGATGTTTGAGCATCCCTACTTTCAAAGTGAATATTGAATATTCAGTACTGCCTTAGGGAGACAGCATTTGCCTAGCATTTATTTGCATCTGAGTGCATAGAAAATGGAATTTTCTTGTACCAAATGTGCAAGCGGAAGATGTTTGAATTGTCCATACCCATCTAGTAAGACCTGTAGTGTCCTTCTGCAAATTATTATCTGAAAAGGTCTTATTTAGGTAACACTTTTATTTTGTTAACATACAAGCTTAAAACATGAATTCAGAAGTATCTGTACTAATTTTCAGAATCCTTTACTTTTTGACATTAATAAAAAGTTACAATTTGGCATTCAACTTCTTTAGCATTACTGTATATTATGCTATTTAATATATTATGCTATTTAATGTATTGTGCTATTTCACATTGCCAAAATTCCACAATGGTGAATTCACTGTGGAAAATTAATCTTTTAAAGAAGGTTAATAATGGACATGGTGAGAAGAAAGATGAGAGGCATTTTAAGGATGACTGCTTACATTAAAAGCTCTGCTGATGTAGGTGGGAAAGAAATTATTTTTTCATATCCAAATGCTGAAAATATCCTAGCCCAAGCAAGGTGAATAGTACAGGGCAAATGAAATTTCATGTTCTTGTTTTTCCCACTGGGGCATAAGTTCTTCACATAATGCTAGTTGGGGTCAACCAAGCTCCAAGCCAACTTCTAAGTGTTTCAAGGGTCACTGATAAAAATGGCCACAATGAAGAATGGTTCAAAACAACTTTAACATGAAGAACAACTAAAACATTTTGTACAGCCATCTCTAAACCTTGTTCTAGAACCAAGGTCATGTAATCTTACAGCAAATCCTCGAACTCCCAGTTTTCTTGCACAGTTTAATGCCTTTTAAGGGAATGTCTCTGGTCATCTTCAGAGATCCTGCATTGGTTGCCACTTGCATCTGCTAGACAGGTGAGAAAAGGCATTCTCAGTAGTGGTACCAAAACTTAGAACTCCCGCCCAGGGAGATTTGTCTCTCTCTATTGGTGTTTCCCACCAGCGGCTGCAGACTTTTTTGTTTCATTTTCCATATCCCCAAGAATGGTTACTGGTTCTCCTCCCCGGTTCTGGTGTTATTTGTTTTTATTTAATTATTTTATATTTTAAATGTTTTTAATTGTTCAAATGTTTTAATGTTCACTGCCTTGGGGATCCTGACCAAAAAGATCTGCAGTGTCTTGCACCATAGACTCCTGGGTGAACTTAGCAGGTTTATTCTTTAGAAGACAGGATCTTTTATAGACTGGTGGTAACTAACTAAAGAATAGGAAGCAAAGGCTAGGAATAAATTCATGGTTCTCAACAGACGTAATCAGTGGATTTCCTCAAGAATATGTATTGGGTCAAGGGATGCTTTTGAAGTTTGCATTGTTAGTAATGCCATCAGTACTTCTTTTTGTTTCTGCTACGCACCAAAGTGAAGCCAACACGACCATGTATTTCTCCTTCGTCTAGGTATTCTTCTGTTCATATGCTTCAACTAGTTAGTGATTGCATATGTTAGCATCCCCCCAGCTTCATGTTTGGGTTTTTTAAGAGTTGGGTTTCCTGCAGCTGCAGGGAATGCAGAAACAGTGCTGGAGAGCAGCTAAAACAGGGAAATGACTTCTCCCAGTGCTGTTTTAATGCTGGAAAAGTGGTGAGGGGGAAGAGAGGATCCCTTCCTCCCCCTGCAGCTCTGGCAAACTCCACTCTTTAAAAAAACCCTAAGACTTCACAGAACAATGGTCAAGCCAGCAATTATCTGGGGCGGGGGGGGCACTGTGCCATCCAGGATCTTCCCTGGCCCCAAAGACAAGGGCATTTTTCTCTCCTTGAATTTACTTTCAGTAAATTTTCCAGTGCTGGCAAGGGAGGGAAAAAAGCAAGCATTATAAGTCCAGCTGCTCTCATACTTTTGAGGGAGACCAGCTACCTACTAGTGCCAGTAGCCACTGAAAATCCTCCTGACACTTGCAATAGAACTGAGACCTATCAGTCTAAACAGGCTCAGCTCCTGCCATATAGATTCCTTTTTGCAGCTTCAGGCACTAGAAGTTACATTAATGAAACTACAGGTCACTTCTGGAGTGACCTCATCTCACTACACCATTATAAGAAAGGAACAACAGGATACGTAGAATACTTCAGATCTTCAAAAACAGTGGTACCTTTACACCCAGCATTTATTAAATCCTATTGTATTTTTTCCTAAAACTGCATCTTAGCACAAAGACTTCTATTTAACTCTCTCCCTGCATGTGACAAGCTTAACATAGCCAAAAGCTTGAGAAATAACAAGTGTTCCGTTATGCTAAGTGGTAGCGTAGGCCATAATTAATACAAGTGGGACAGTATCTATTTCTAAATATTCTGATGCATATCCCTGGAGGTTGAAATAAAAGAGAAAGGATACATGTCAACTTGATTTATTTTCCACAGTGAGGATTTCTTCAAAATTAGAGCAAAGGAAGCACCAACATTTTTACTTAAAAGTCTATTCAAAGAAATATGCTATCTTTTGTATTCTGTATCATCCAAAACATTAAACTGTCTCTTGGGTTTGGTAGCTTCTTGCATTAGTTCCTGTAGCTGTCCAAGCTGCTCACCTCGAAGTGCTTCAAGCTTCTCCTCTGGGAGGTGGGATCCAAAGTGGGGCTTGTTTGGTGAGCTCTCTTCATTTTGACTAGTTTGCTCCCCAAGCATCGTTGCATAGTTCTGGAGGGGGGGGATAATTGAGTGATTAAAAGTAGGCAAACTTAGGTATAGATAGTCCATTTCTAACAGCAACCCTTCAACCTGCCACAGAATCTCTTTTTCCAATCCTATCCAACCAATATGCTATCAAACTGAATATGACCATTTGAGTGAACTAATACCAGGCCAAGAAAGACTTCATACTACAGGGGTGGCAACTGAGTGACTCCCCAATCTACATCATAGTCCTAACATTCAAATGCGCTTTTTAAGTGTGGTATGGAAGGGCAAGCCTTGTGTGGTAGTAGCCAGGTGAGTCTGTTGTAGACAAAGTAACACAGATTCTTGGCATCATAAAGACAAATGAATTCAGTGTATCCCAAGTTCTTGTAAGGCCCAATGCACTTCATCAGACGCTTGAAGTGTTCCACTCAGTAAACAGTACTATATACATGCAAATGTACAAACGAAATAAGAATGGCAGTGGGGAGCTCTTACAAAGTGAGGCCAGAAGGTCCAACACTCTAAGAAATTGCTGTGTTGTATTACACTGCAGACTACAAATGAAAAAAGAGTAAATGATCCAATCAGAGTAGGCATGGCACACTCCCAGATGAAGTAATATGGATATGGAGTCCCCCGCCCTGAAGTGTATGTGTTTAACATACTTGTTTAACTTACAGTGCGATTCTAAACAGAGCTACACCTAAGAACAAAAAAAGAGCCCTGCTGGATCAGACCAGTGGTCCATCCAGTCCAGCAGCCTATGTCCCACAGTGGCTAACCTGTTACTCTGGAGGGCTAGCAACTGGGCACAGAGACCAAGGCCTTCCCCTGATGTTGGCTCCTGGCACTGGTATTCAGAGGTATACTGCCTCTAAATGTGGAGGTTCCTAACAGCATGATGAACCCTTTTCACTCTCACAGAGTGCCTACCACCCCCCACAACCTCCCTCACACAGGTTCAGGGTAGGTCAGGCCATCACACGTCTACCTAGCCCTCTTTAATAATGGCCCCTCACGCAGACACTGCAAAGTTATTGGAGTTGGGTGCTCAAACACTGTTCCATTCACATGTTGCCACCATTTATTTATATCCTAAATATATATATACAGCTCCTAGCTTGTGTATGTTTGTGTTTCTTTCCCTGAGACAAAACAAACAAGGAGTTAACTTTTATTTATGGCTTGAACAGAACAGTGAAGGAAGACACGTTACAAAGTTTCTTCTTCACTGAATTTTTGAACTGTTTCCCTATTCCAGAATTTGGGATCTTTTGTTGACTTTTTCCCAGTCAGCTTTACACTTCTCTTTGCCACAGCTTCAACTCAGCCAAATTCTCAATTTCCTTAACTGCCATTTTCCAGCAGTCTCTCTCACTAACATTCCGTCAGCTCTCATTGGCTGGTCTTAGAGGTAGAACCTAACCTGTCCATTACAGTAGGCACTGATATACCTATCCTCCATGAATGTGTCTGATCCCCTTTAAAAACTGTCTGTGCCTGTGGTAATCACTACATCCTTTAGTAGCAAATCCCACACTTTAATAACCCATTGAATAAAGTATTTCCTTTTGTCCATCCTGAATCTACTGCCCATCAATTTCACTGGATGTCCGAGTTCCAGTATTTTGAGAGAGGGAGAAAGTTCTCCATCATGTTCCTCTTTTCTAAACTGAAAAGTCCCAGACTCTTCCAACTTTCCTCATACAACAGGTGTTCCAACCCCTTAATCAACTTGCTTGTCCCCCTTCTGTACTTTCCCCAGCTCTGCAATCTCTGTTTTGAGATATGGTGACCAGAATGACACACTGTAGTCCAAATGAGGCTGTACCATAGATGTCTATAGGCAACATTATAATATTGACTGCCTTAACTTCAATCCCTTTCCCAATAAGTACCAGCACGAGTTTGCCTTTTTCACCACTGCAGTGCACTAAGTTGACAGTTTCACTTTCCCTCTTAGTCTCAGCAAGTTCGGGTCTCATTAGTGGGTACTTAAAGTTGGGGGAAGATTTTTTGTTTCAGTCACCTTACACTTACCTACATTGGTCATTTAGCTTAGAAGGGTGTTACTGCTTAGGACAGCATTATAAATCTATAGATTGTTAATAAACACTCAACTCAGAGTACTGGTTTGGTTGCTGTGCTAAAACTAGCTACAAATTCCATTTGGTGTATACAGGCAGCTGAAGATCTTTTGCATTGTTCGGTACCCTCTTTATCTTAAGGTCAGAAACCATCTTTTACTTCTTCTTTGTCCGTATCACAGAAATTTGTTTTTTTTTTTAATTTGGCAGTAAGGATCTAAAATGTACTTATGTATTTTGTGCTGGTAGCTTCTCAAATAATAGTTATCTTTTTTAAAACTATGAAGAAAATACAGAATACTGCTATTGAACTAACACAGTGTAGGAGGAGCGAAGCTCTCAAATGATTTTTTATTGATTATTCTTGTGTTAAAAGCCCTTTAGAAGAAATTCTTTGGGTTTCCCCTGGAGATTTTAACATCTTGCTTTAGAGGTCTGAACTGTGTTGTAAAACTAAATAATATGAATCATTTTTAATTGACATGTTTTTAGCTTTTGCTTTAACGAGGAAAAAAGGAGTAACCCTTTCAATTGAGAGAAGTTTTAAATTTATAGTCATGAAATGCCTTTGAAATGCAGGTGTCTTGCTTGTTTATGCCAAATTTTGGTCAGGATGACCTGGGATTTAGCCAGCCAAGCTAAGGTGGAAAGTTTGCAGCAGCTCTGTTGCTCTGTGTGAACAGGAATTTTCAATGTTTAAATGAAAGGCATTCTAACATATTGTGTATCAGAAACTATAGGCAATATATCTGCTTATAAGTACATATGTGCATTGTATTATTTTTAAAAAGGCATTACTCTGTTTGCATCTTTAACTGAGTAGTGCTAATTGGGAAAGCTTGTACTGCCAATTGTTCTTTCTCCTACTTCAAAGAGAAGAGCCATACCTAAGTCAAAAGGACAGTTATTATGTATTGTAACAGAAGAAATCCCTGTGTGTGTGTTTTAAGACTTTATGTTATATGTAAAACAAGTTAATGCTTTAAGATGTTTGCAGAAAGCTAAAGCTGAATAATTGTATTTATTTATTTATTTATTAATTTATTAATCAAACTTATACTCCGCCCTCCCCCGTAGGGCTCAGGGCGGCTAACAGGCAAAAATTGCAACAATAAAACATAGTTCTCAAAGTTAAAAACAGTAAACATTTAAAACTAATCTTAATACAAGTTAATTTAAATTCAAATACAAATTTAAACTTAATTTAAATTTAAAGTGCTTGTTGCTCTTCACATCCGAAAAACTCCACAAGATGACGGTCCAGTCCTGAGGTTCCCCCAAAGTCATTTGATGGTTCCGACATTCAATCAAATAAGTAAGATGTTTAAAATGTTCAAAAAAAGTTCCAGTGTTTCCGATGTTTCCTTCCTTCCCAGGGCCTCTTCTCTGGGGCCCGGTACAGTTAGTAAATTTTGGGCCCCAGACCGTAGTGCTCTTGGGGGAACATACGGGATAAGGCGGTCCCTCAGGTAGGCTGGACCCAGACCATGTAGGGCTTTATAGGTAAGAACCAGCACTTTGAAGCGAATTCGGTACGCTATTGGCAACCAGTGCAGCGCTTTCAGCACAGGCTGAATGTGGTCCCTCCTAGAGAGACCCATTAACAGCCTGGCCGCAGCATTCTGCACCAGTTGCAGCCTCCGGATTTGCGACAAAGGCAGCCCCATGTAGAGAGCGTTACAGTGGTCTAGCCTCGAGGTGTGCAACCAGACTGTTTGATGGAAAAGAGAAGTCATTATACAAATGACCAGTAGCTGAACTAAGTTGAAAAGGGCTAACAAACAGTTTGAGAAAAACAAGATAATCAACTCCTAAAAGGCAGCCAAAGAAACAAAGGTGATTTACACTATACTGTGCTTTTAAATTTTAAGGAGTATTATGTCACAGAGACAAATCATGTACATTTGACAATTAAGAAGAACACAGGTGAACATGAAGTCATCCCTTTTGGCACTGACTAGAAGGGTCAATTATATGAATTGTGAAATGGTGCCTCCTACAGGCCGAACCAAGCAATGTGTTTTATAAACTATAAGCTTGGATATTAATACAAGCAGCTTCATAAATGTGCTAATATTCTTTAAAATAATTGTAGAAAATATTCTAGAGGACCAAAATGAAATCTAAAAAGTGAGTTGAAGATGTCTATGAGAGTTTGATACAAGCTATTTTAAAATACTAAAAGAATTCATGTAAGGAGTTTAATGCTTTAGAATGTGTGCCAAACATGTAACTGATGACTGACAAGACAAAGAGAACTGAACTGAGTATGCCTAAGTGATGTCAGTGATGATGTAAAGTGAGGAGGAGCAGAAGCAAGTATATAAGTCTGCTCCTTGCATCTATTTGTTGAACACCTAGGCTGAATTAAGCCGATGGTTCTCCTTTATTCGAATAAATACTTTTTATTACCCTTTACTGCCTGGAAGATTGATTTCACTGTCTGGTTTATTGGCTAGCCACATAAGTCAAAGAACCTGAAGCACCTTTAGCATATTGGCAATAACAGTACTGTTGCAATGTTAACTGCAGCATAGCTGTATTTGAAATTAACTCCTGGTTAGTGTTGTGATAGCCAATAAGATAATGATTGATACAAAAAAGTAGAGTCTGTTGGACATTTGACAGCTTCAAACATTTTTACTGCTGATGTTTCACAAACTAAAAAACTACTTTGGGTTGTAGTTACTGAAAAATTCTGGTTAGTTGGTAAGTATTGTATTTGTTGACTCCCTGCAACTATCAACTGGCCAACTGCTTCCACATCCACTTTAGTATGCTCACTTTGATCCATAAAAGACCTAAAAGCTGATCCTAACACTAGGATTCACCATATGACTGATCAAAAAGGAGTTGGTGAACTGACTGGTCAAATCTTGGTCAAGTATTCTTAAAGCAGAAAGTTACTTTCATTAACAGCTTTGATCCTTA